ATTTTAGTGCACCTATATGCTGAAATTCACGGTAAACGCATTTAAACGGCACAGATCGGGAGCGAGCGAAGGACTTTGAAAGTTAGCGGAAAGATTAACGTGAGACAACATCCGGTTTCTTCAGATGAACATCCGGTTTTCAGAATAAGATGCCAACAAAGTATGAATTATATTCACATTAAGTATAAAACATGCTACCTGCATCTCGTGAACCAAATGTTATTGCCCTTTTGTTCATACAGCAGTACTTTTAAAATAAAAGTGCGCAATACACTACTTTTGAATTCATTATTGAACTTTGCCATAACAATGCGATTAATCGCGATTAATCGCAAAAAATCCATGCGATTAATCGCGATTAAATATTTTAATCGTTGCCCAGCACTAATAAATATACATGTAGAGTAACATTCCAACCCCTCAGATAGAGCATATCGATCCACTATCATACATATATCTCCAGGCCACATATAGGTCTTTGAGCTGGCGAGGAGAAAGCAAAAGATTCTGTGTGTTCAACACTTGAGAGGACGCTCTCCCTCAGCACAAACACAAATAGGACATACCAGCTGGTTTCAGCTTTGGTCTGTTTATCTCACGTGGGATTAGAAGATACGTACTCGGATAGCAAGCAGTTTGTTGTATGCAACCTCCTATGCTTCCGTGCTTGACACCGCCTTTTTTCATCCGTGTCATTAATACACCTCACACTAGCTGCTGAGTGTACTTTATATCCACAGCGTGGTCATTTCTGTCTTCTTCAAATCAACAGAAACGCAGGAACCTTCCTCTTTGGTAAGGCTTTGGTCTCTACTCACAGCTGTCTGCTCGTAGCATTCTGTCGAAAAAAGGGCCCAGTCGGGAGAAGAGGTATTGGCTGCTGGGCTGGAGGGCGGGCTGACATTTTAAGGGGTTACGATCTCGTTCTGCTCCCCTCAGCAACCAGCTCTTTGTTTGGTGGCACGCTGCACAGACAGCCGAGCTGCAGCTCTGTTAGAACTGAAGGTCTGACTTCACTGTAAGGTCAGACAGAAGAAATATCAGTTGCTTTGTTACATGGATGCATTGCTTGTAGTGTCAATAATGAGCGTTGCTTTCAGGATATATGATGTGCATCCTGTCGTTTTTGTGTCTGTAGATAATAGAAAACACAGGTGAAGTCGTAAAACCTTCATTTTGATGGCAAATTCATATAGCGTGTGCTTCTAAACTTCCTCAAGAATTCTGAAAGGTTTTTCTAGGAACACTCATGTCCCTCAGGTGCACAGTGCTGTGCTTACGCTGTCCACAGCGGCATTAATTGAAATTTGCCTCAAATATTAATGCAATGATGCATTTCGTGCAAATTGACAACAACTCTCCCCCTCCGTGCATATGCTGTGCTGGCAGTGTGCAGCGCAGCAATGAGATGCAAAGTGACATTATTGCTTCCAGCAGCATCTTTCTTGCAGCATGTGAGGGGCCGCTGCACAGACGTCTGGCTTTTCTTTCAGTTTAGAGAAGGATTAAGAAGGAAAAGTTTTTTTTGTGGGAGTGTCAGTACTTGTACATGGCTTGATTACAGACTTTGGAGTGTCCCACTCTCTTTGTGCCTTACGTTGGTGTTTGTCTCTTCACAGTCTTGCATTTCTCGCTGTTGGTCTTTCCATCTTCTTGCCACTGGAAGCGGGGGCTCAGCATTGATTTCTTCGGGTGTCAGGTCACAGCAAATAAATGCCATCTGTAGGTCCTAAAGGCAGGGGAAGTCCCACTAGTGAATAGAGCATAATGGATGGATAAGGAGTGATTTGGCACACTCTCAGGTGGAGACAGACGTAGATGGAGCTCTCAGGAATCAAAATGGCTTAATTTGATGAGCTGGTGCAGGGTGAAGAGCTCTCGCTTGAACATGTCGTCCCAGGCACTGATTGAAACACGTCATACATACACACAGGGCCCGCCTATCATATCGTCTAGATGGCGGTGTATAAGCGTGTACATGCGCACGTCTGCTGCCCTGAGCACTGGTGAGGCACATACACAATCACCACAAGTACAAGCTTGCCATTGTGACTGCAGGAGGAGGAGGGACAGAGATTGAGGCTGGCTGACGGACCGATAGGAAGGCTGAATAGCAAGTGGAGCTTCCAGTCTGCATTGAAATGCACTGATTGAATCTTGTGCTCTCAAGCAAGGACTTTGAAATTGTTGAAGTGCTTAGTTTGTAGTTTGGTGAGACATTATGATATCCCATTACATGAATGTTCCATGCCACTTAAGTGTGCTGTGTTATGAAGCAAGCTAATGGATTGTGTTGATTATTCGGTACTGATGCAAGGTGGAAATGATCTGTTTCTGTCGAATTGTGCTCATTTGTTCCTCCAACATACAATTACTCCAAGTCTAATGTAACAAGTGTATCGAATCGCTGTATTTTTTCGGTTTCTGTCTTTATTTATTAGATGACATCAACAGAGCAACAACACTGTTTTGAATATGTCTGGTTTCAGTGTTTCCATCTTGTTGTATATTAAAAGAGCAAATAGCAATTATTTTAGGAAAAAACTGACATTTTTCTTCTCACCATAACTGAGAGGGTGGCTTGACATTTTGCTGTGCACATGCTTGTGAATAAGTACTGGGTAAGAATGAACGCCATCTTTTATTAACTGTCTTCTGTGTTTTGGCAGCCCTTTGTTGCAGCACTTGCTCTGTTGGCTCTGAGATTGGTAAACACACAGAGGGCAGAATGAGTAGTGAACATGCAATGGTTAGTGTTTTTGCATACACACACACACACACACACACACACACACACACTCATGTGCTCTAGAGATGGGGATCATAGGGTGTTTATCTACCAGTGTTGAACACAGCAGCTTAAGCCAGTTGGTGCTTGGCCCTGCTAACTGCAGCTCGGCTCACACACTAGTGATGAAGCCACAATTAGCTCGACCGAGCCGTATGTCCAAGCCAGAATGTACGATTTTGTTCTCTGCCTGGAATAATCCAAAATATTCTCTCCAGCAGAGAAGGGATCACACTTACTTGAGGTTTGAGTAACTTCATTTGTGTTTTACCAACAAGCACACATCTTTTGTCCAACCCTTGCTGGACAGGTCTCTTGCCACTATTTTGTTGATCAGGCTCATGTTTCATGTTCCAACGGTCTTTTTGATCTCTGGACTAGTGCCACCGACTAAGCTGTGAAGGGAGCTAGTCCTCCACAAGAAGGATGCATTGAATCAGTGACTGAGATCAACTGTCTCATTCATATGTTGTCTGATTTTCAACACCACTAATCAACTTAAATGCTTATATTTATAAAATATCTTGCATTTTGTTCAGTGTAACTGGACCGTCTGCCTTGATGCAACGTTATTTCCACAGGTACAGTGTTTATTAGGACTTCATTTTCAATTTACTTAAAGAAGGATTTTGTGTTGGGATATCAGGCGCTTAGATGTGCTTATATCTAGACGTGTTTTACTTTCAACAATCACACAGAAGTAATTACACCATAAAAGAAGAGATATACCACAGATGCCAGTTCCTCCATTGACAGTAGCCTGAAACGACCAGAACATTGTGTCGAATAGCGTAATATTGTGACAGCATACTGCATGCATGTAAGCTCTCTTTTGGAAGCTGTGTTTTTTGGGATCGTGGAAGGCATTCTGTCAAATGGAGGAAATCAGAAGTCTAAGGAGAAACAGACAAGGCAGGTTATAGACTAAAATATAGACTCTTGGAATTCATCGAACATAAATTAATATGATATTATGGTGTGTAAAGTTTTTTTGTTACTGTTTTTTCGTTAACAGAATCAGTGTTTGTACTGTATTCTGACATCTACATAAACTCACATTTGCAAAATATAATAGCCGTAAAATAGAAGCTGCCTTTTAAAGCTTATCTAAGAGACTGTATAGTATACCCTGCTGTTAACATTGGTGTGCACGTATAGGATTTGCTGCTGGACCACATTGCAGTTACGAAGGAGATGCAGTGTAAAGACCAGAGTGTAAGTGTTTGTACAGTATGTTCACCTCCCACCTGCTGTGTATCTGCCTTGCATGTGGGCGATCATGGCTCACGATGGAGACAATTATCTCATCTATAACTCATCCGCTTACTGTAATGTGATTACGTATATACATGTACATCACGGAAAAAATAGTACATTTGCATTTAACAGTGGACGTTATGGAAAAGAAACTCTGTATCAAATGGCAAATGAGCTTGTGACGATGGAAAGCAATTGTGCATCATTTTTCATCGTCTGTGCGACATTCAGAAGTATTCTCGGAGTAAAGGCTCCAAGTTTCCATTGTTGAGTCTTGTAGAGCCACTCACGGTGAGTCTTTTCTCACTTTCTAATCAGCCAACTGGTGGTTAAAGTAGTGAGTCTTCAAATAGCGTTCAACATAAAAAAGGAAGTAGTGGGTGGGGAGTTGTTATGCAGCATTAGCATGCATAGTGTAGGGTGGCTTTGCATTTAATTATTTTTGAGGCAGAGTCAAAAACAGCTGTGTCTGTAGGCTTTTTTTATTGTTTCACAAGAGATCGGTGAGAGAAGGTTAATTGGATTTAAACAGCCTGCAGCAGAATTCACAGAGGTAGGTTCATTATCTTGTGGTGGTTGTACGACTTGATTGACAGCTGCTAATGATTGATTTAGTAAAGTGGTAATAGTTGTATACCCAGAACACAGATACTACATTTTAAATGTCTAACCATCAGCAATGTACGTCTCTCAGTGGGGTTCATCCAACAGCTCCCCCGGGGGCCTCATTTATAACAGTCGGTCCAGCGTTCATGCTTGCATCCAAATTACAGCTGTTATTTATGAAAAATGTATTTGAGCTGGCATGTAGGTGATTCGTTTATTTGATATCATACTGTATAGCTGCAGTGTCTGTGGACCAGTGTTGTTGAAGGAGAAGTCAGTAGAGCGTCCTCCAGTGCTTGTGCAGTCAGATGATTAAGAAACAATTCCTTTGTCTGTCTTTTACTGTCTACAAACGGGCCCTTGTAAATACGGAGGGACTGCAGGCAGAATGCTCATGGGTCAGTGGACCATAGGAGGCAAAAGAAGCAGTGTGTTTGAGTGCTGTTGTGAATGCAGTTAGGATACTACACAACTTGACTCTGCTTAGTTACTATTACGCCTGCTGCTCAGCTGTGTAATAGGAAGACCGAAAGCAGAAACATCTGAGAGAAAATGAGGCCGTAGCTGATGGTTGCAAGGCCACCCGTTTTCCACGCGGTCTAAAACTGTAAAAGTGTTGACACCACAAGATCAAAGATGCAGCCTGCAGTGAACATCGTGTGTTCACTTCTGACACAAAGTTAGTAGCGTTCACACTCCGACCAGTTACCAGGTGTGGAAACACACAGTGTGTACTCTCAATATTGTAATTGAGCAGCATTTTCAAGAGCCTTTTGGTAAACTCGAAAATTGGTTATTCTCCTTTTACTCACAGGTTTTTGTTATAAAGTATTTTCTCTCAGGTATAATAGTAGTCATTAAGTAATAGTCTTGCATTAAAAACTTCACTTGAGTAAATTTACAGAGGTATTGTGGAACACTGAGGAGTACTTTAGTTCATACAGGAGGAGGCTGTAGAGCGATTAAGTCATTCATTCAAAAGGTTGGTGGTGTGATCCCCAGCTTTTCATCGCCAAGTATGGAAGAGTCTTTGAGCAATACGCTGAACTACAATGCCCATTAGGAGTGTCTGCCAAATGGGATGTATTTATAACTTTTAAACTTGCATGGGCCTTTCATTTTGACTTTTAGGAAAATCTTTTTTCAACGCTTCAACTAGTCAAGTAACCTCTGCTCAGGTGGAATATTCTCGTGTTATTTCCTGCCATGCTAATTACATTTGTAATAGTCATCACTAACATGTCGGCCTAGCAGCGGTGGTTGAAGTAGTGATAGTGTATAACTATGTAACTACTATTATATAACTCATGGATAATAGTCAGCATCAAATTTGCACTAAAATCTGCTCAACTTGCTGTCATTTTAAGTGAGGAACTGCTCTAATTTCAAAGGTAACACATAGTGCTGTGGTTAACGTTGCTGTGATAGATTGTACACATAAAGAGAGGACACATACAGTATATAGACATTTTTACTGTTGGTGTGAATTATGCATGGCACTGAAGGATATTTCAGTCCCACTTAGGAGGGCTTAGACGCTAACTCCTCGGCAGTGTTCTGCTGAAAGGGTGAAGAGAGGCGTCGGTAGTGGCAGAATATCCTCTGTTGCTCTGTGTGGCTGCTCTCACACTCTTCTCTCTCGGGTTTCCATGTGCGTTTGTCTCCACACACTGATAATCTCATCTCTCCGCCTGCTGTGTCATGCAGGATCATCCTGGATCACAGCGACTCGTACAGTGACCTCCTCCGCATTTACTGGCATCAGCGCGTTTGCGTTTCGTTACATAAAAAGCAAAGATCGTGAGGCTAGCGCTGCACTTTCTTTACTGCGTCAGTGTTGGTGTCACATAAACATCTGCACCTTACTTTGAGAAGCTGAAAATGTGATTACGCCTTCAGAAGGTGCGGTCTTAGAAGAAACGGTGCTGCTGCCTAAACTTCAGGCTGTTTTCAGCTGTTTTAAGGAAATGTTCATGAAGAAGAAGTTAGGCAGCTTTATAGGGCTCTTACAACAGCTGACTGGTGTAGTTACACATATCACCAGGCAGATTAAAACCCTGTTCTAAAAGTACTCAAGCAATGACATCAATGATGTAATTTCACATTTTAGTAAAAAGATTAGTCTTTAATTTTCAACCGATGATTAAATGTTGGCTGTTCACGAGCAATGCTCTACTGATGAATAGTCAGTAGACCAAGTAGTTTCTAAATGACACATGATGAAAGTAATGGCTTGAGGGGTAATTTTTAAATTTGAATATTAACTCTGATGCAGTCACAGGTGTGTGTGGCCGTCGGGTGTGTTACAGCAGCTTCAAATTGAGCTCAGTCGATCAGAACTAAGGGCCTTAACTTTCTGTTTCAGGTTGATAACTTTCCATATGTGTGTGTGTGTGTATGTGTTTCAGGGTTCTCTGCCTCCCCGGTGTCTTCCTCTCCTGTGCGGCCTCTGAAGCCATGGACTAGAGCTGCGTCTGGTCCTGACAGTCCCACGGTCATCAGATGGCTTTTCAACAACCCTCAGCAAAAATACAGAAAGTATGTGTCATAACTAACAGAAAGCAGTTGAATCACATTCATCCACATTGTAGCTGACAGCTGCTAAATAACACTGAATGGATAAGGCTAGAGGTATTCAATATTTCTCTAATTAACAACAAATGACAAGACCAAAACCAACAATGAGTTGATCCTATTATGTAGTGCTGTCTGTGTATGCGAGGACTAATTTATACATCTGTGGCACAGACCTCCATTGTTGACTAAAAACACATAAATGTAGTGCACACAATATGTACTATAAAAAGTACAAGTACCTCTCTGTACATAAGTACAGTACCTGAGTATTGTTCTTTACATTTCACCACTGCACCTGGTGCCATAAATATTCACAACTAGTACACCAAATGTGTCTTACTCCACCATTGAAGATTTACTCGTATTTGAGTAACATTTTCAGAGAATACTTTGCCCAGTTGTCCTTTTATAAAATTAAAATATTACTAAATATGAAGTTGTAACAAATAGTCTTGGGCCTGAGCATCGCAGCAGAGTCTGAAAGTTTTATTAGATGGTTCTGGTCTTTTCTTGCCATTTGTCAAGAATAAGACAAATATGACAAACGTCAATCCTTTAAAGTAGATCTTTATCTAGTTCACTGTGCTGCTATAATGCCGTTTGTAGAAGCCGGATACATCATGTGTGTGACAAATATGCAAATTATCATTATGATTAAAGGGAAGCTGGACATTCCCAGGCTGTACGTCAGATAGAAAAACATGCATTGGGGTGTTTCTGAGTCAACTACCTCCCACAAAGAAAGCGTTCTGAATGAGGCTGTTCTTCAGGGAAACGATGAGGTCATGAGCTATTCCTGTGACTCACTTCACCTATTATTCTGTACTCAGTGATGACCTCTAGACAGTGTAATTATGTGCACATATGTTGTTTCTTTGTCTTTTGAATTTCCTGTAAGAAGTGTGACATTTTGTTGTGATAAACATTTATTTGATTTCTAAGAAGGAAGTGCCAATAAAGAGAGAACTACCTCCAGCGATACATTAGAGGTCCCCTTTGATCTGATAACATAATGCGTATCAGTCCCAATCTCATGATCTCTGACAAACCTTTGGTTGTGACCGCTCCAGCACATGCAACACAATGCAAGTGGCTGACAGTAAGTAGGTCAGCTAAACTACAGCTTAAGTGCAGCTTTGACTCATTAATAATGCATATGATAAAGACTAAAGTTGCTGGGTCTCGAACAAAGATATTTTCTCTCTGATGCCAATAATCAAGGAGCGCTCAGCTGTCTGTTTTTCTTTTGTTGTCGCGAGCTTTTCATTTTCATGAGATGATAATACTGACCGAGAGTTTCTGAGATTGTTCTGTCATGGTCAGTTAAAGATATGCTGCGATGTCCTATCCACTGATGCTCATCCGTCTCAGAAGCAGGAAACAACTGAAATGTTTTTTTTTGCATCGGCTGCATTTCCAGATCAGAGCGTCTGTGCCAAAACTGAGCCCAAAACTGAGCCGAAATCCTGATGGACGCTCGTATGTCATGTGGCACACTGAGAGCTGGAGCAGTTGCTTACAGCTCAGCGATGTGGGCAGAGTATCAGAATGTCTGCAGCATGCTCTCACTCCTCTTTAGGTCAAAGCCACAGACCTGAGCAGCCTTCAAACCTCCGGTCTGCACACACAGAGGCCCCGGTGTCAGAGCTGCAAACCTGTGGGTGTTTGTTTCTTCGCTGACAACGCTCTGAACTCCGTTCCTTGGTCACCCACACAGCCTCTGGAGGAATGGAAGCTATGCATGGGCTCATTCGTTCCATGGGCCGAGGGAGGGAACACTTGTGCATCATAGAAGTGATATTTAAGATCTAACAAAGGAACACTTGTTGATCATTAGAGCCGCGCTGTTAACCTGCTCTCTAGCTAGCATCATACTAAATAACATCACACTGAATGGCTCCACAAACAGTTGCTGGGCATCCGTCCTTGCTGTCCAGCTCACGTGGTTCAAGGTACTGGATCATACCCAGAAACCCCTTGTCACTCAGTGGCAGGAAGAGGGTTAGTGTTTGTTTTACGTCACGGGCGGTGGGACAAAAGCTCTGGAGAGAGGCAGGTGTGTCCTGGATACAACCTCTGGTCGTATTGTTGATATTACATCCGTGCTATTGGATTTTATGTTATGACTGCTAGCAAGAGCTGGGAGGAGTTCTGGGAGTGGAGTGCTGTTCGCAGTACTATGTACTTTCAGCACTAAGCATTACACCTCAGTACAAGCAGGCCGAGACTGCTGGCCGGGATAAGAATTAGAGAGCGGGTCCGCCCAGTCTCTGGTTTCTCACAAGGTTAGTGAGTGATGGGTTTTTAAGAGTGTTGCTGAAATGGATTTACTATAAAATGGTGTCTTTTTCCAGATGACAACGTGAAGTCTGGCGTCCACCAAGGCCACCGCTGCACCTTGGGCAGCGCACACACATGATCACATGACTCTGGACATGGACGCGGTCCTGTCAGACTTTGTTCGGTCCACGGGGGCAGAACCGGGTCTGGCAAGAGACCTGCTGGAAGGTAAGAGTCCCAAACTGTCCTGCACCTCCGAGATTCGAGGCTATCAAGCAAACTGTCATGTATAAAAGACTCGATATGTGGGAATTTGTGTTTTGATCAGCTGCTCCCTGTTGTGCTGCGGTTGCACTCAAGCGGGCAGAGGACAGGGAAGAACAGAAGAGGAGAGGAAATGAGGGGAAAGGAAAAGAAAGGAAACAAAGGAGGGGAGGAGAGGAGTTGGGCCTGTAACAGTGAGCCAGTCTGCTGATTTAGAGGCCAGTGTGACGGTTTTACGAGTGCACTCCCCAGGGAGAGCTTTGTGCCCATTCATTGGAACTCATTGAGGAGCAGAGTGCTACTGGCACTTGTATAGCTTACATACAGGGCCACTTTGGTGGAAAAAAACAGGAGAGAAAAAGTGCACACGGCAACAGAAAGCTGGTTGATGGTCAGTTGAATTGGCTTTCTTGAGACAGTCAAGTGAGGTTTGTGTTTTTATTTCCGATTTTTGTAGCAATTTCAGTCTCAGACGATTTCGCATTGCACTCAAGCATCTGTTCAAACTGCAGTAAGGAAATGCTGAACTCTTAATTTAGATCCAGTTTTGTCTACTTTACAGGAATAAAAGCATGCTCCACACAAATCAGACTTCCATTAGGGGATGAAATCCTTGTAGAGTGCGTCCTGGAATTTTATTTTTTTGTCTCTGCGTGTTTATTATGCAGCTGGTGTCTAGTCTGATAAAAGAATTAAAGTGTTGGGTGTCTGTCTCTCCCTCCCCTTCAGTCATGTTTTTTTTCTGCTTTGGCACAAAGCCACAGGGACACTAACAAGACACCAAACAAGACACAGCACTCAGACAAGACAGACGTGGGCCTGGATGTCCTATTTCAGTGTCACGCCTGCTGCTTTTCTCTGGTGTTAGCTTAGCTCTCCAGACCTGCATCAATCAGCTGTGACCCCTTTGGTCTGAGTCATATGACAGCACATGTGGTTCCTCCAGGTAAGAGACTTCCTCCAGGTCTCTTACGAAGGGAGTCCATTAATGGACCTTGTCTCACAAACATGCTCAGATTACATGCAGGAACCCTCTGAATGTTTGCAGTTGTAGGCATTGATGTGAGTTGTATAGACTGCAGATAGTTCTTGTGGCGTCATGAGAAGGCACACTGTTTTATAATAAGACTGAGGCTCGACTTGTTTCTCTCAAACCTGGAAGGGATCTCTATTAGAGACAACACCCAGAGGACAGGAAGTGTGTGTTTGTGTGTGTGTGTGTGTGTGTGTGTGTGTGTGTGTGTGTGTGTGTGTGTGCGTGCCCTCATGGCATGCATGTGTTACCAGTGTGTGGGTCCCTCCTGCACATCAGGATATTGCTGTCACCCTGTTAAATGATCCGTCTTCTCTCAGCGTCTTCATTGTTGTGGTACCACCCAACCTCAACCTCCGGTTATTCTTCTTATGATGCAGCATGTTTTACTCAGACTATGTATGGCATTGCTCCATATGGGCGATATATACCATTATTGTTGGGGCTCATTATTTAATATTTGTAAAAAGACAGTAATCCCAAAATCTGCAGATGCATAGCCCTTTTGTATTTTACCCCATTTCTTTCTTCCCTTTCTGCTTAGGAGTTATTCACCATGAGATAACTCTTTTTACTGTAAACTGCAGCAAAAAGTATCCCGTTGCACCAAAAAAAACAACTTTTTGATGCGTGGGAACATAATATTTGGTAAACCACTCTAATTGTTCAGGAATTCAGGATATCTTGGACTAAATATCTAAAAAAATATATCAATATGATACCCTTCAATAATCGTACACAATATTCATTCTTGATACTTTTAATCAGTGTTGACGTGCAATCGACCAGACCTTTTTTTTTGTGTCCCGCAGGTAAAAATTGGGACCTCAGTGCTGCTCTGAATGATTATGAGGAGCTCAGGCAGGTCCACACTGCCAACCTGCCGCTGGTCTTCAACGAGGGCCGCTACTACAAGCAGCCAGAGACACGTGACACGCCCACCCATGTCAGCAAGATCGACAGGCCATGTGCACAGAAGCAGGAGGACAATGCACAAGGTACGAGGGCTCCCTCAACACCATGTTGCCACCACCAATGACCCCCACCAGTTTTGTCTTTTCTTCACTCGCTTCCCACTCATCCATGCAATTCTCGCTTCTTCTCCCCTCTAGAGAAGCGTCTGTCCCGCGGGATCTCCCACGCCAGCTCTGCTATCGTCTCGCTGGCGCGGCTGCAGGTGGCCAGTGAGTGTACCAGCGAGCAGTTCCCTCTTGAGATGCCCATCTACACATTCCAGCTACCAGATCTCAGCATGTACAGCGAGGATTTCAGGAGCTTCATAGAGAGAGACCTGATCGAGCAGTCCACCATGATGGCTCTGGAGCAGGCCGGTGAGTAATACAGGATATAATATTATACAATACATTCTGGTATAGTGGTTCTCCTACTACTGTTATGAGATATGTAACATAATCTTGTGCATGTTCTTGATTTAGATTACACTGAAATGTGGGTAGCAATGAGAAAATACCATTGAAAGTCAGTAATAGACAGTAGACAGAGACGTGGAGGGTGAGGCTGAGAGTAGAGATACAGAGCAGCATCATCTGGAAGCAAGACCACAACAACTAATTCAAAGCATCCAGGATCCCAAAGGATTCATCTCCCAGCTTCAGTTTTGAACTAATGGAGAGAAACTAGTTAGTGAAGTTTCAAATCTTCCTGCAGATTTTCTCACAGAGACTGTAAAGACTTTCTCGCCTATTTCTGTTCTAATTCTGGGAACAGTCGTCCAAAAAGAAGATCAGGATAATTAAATATATTGACTTTCATATTTCTATATTTCATAAACAAGTGAATAAGAGACAATCTGTCTAGTATTGTGAATACATTTTCAACAGTCCAACCAGAAAATCTATAAATGCTATAAAATATGTATCTCTGCAAATAAAAATATGTGAAATAAATTACAAGCAGCTTAGTATTAGCCTCCCTTTATGGGTGGTTGAATATCAACCAGCACATGAATCATTCATGGTTATAACATCATTAAACAAACTAGGATGTAACAGTAGTCCAAGTTTTAAGAAAATTAACTTAATATCTAACATGTAAAATGCAAAACATCTGCATTTTGAGCCCATCCACACTGAGGGGGTAAATCAGTCAGAGCTTCTTCTGTGTTTACTGTTGTTAAATAAATGATGCAGTCAGATCACCCCAGGCTCAGAGCGATGAGGCTGCCTGCAGTAAAGCAGTGTGCCGTGCCCGGGGCTGTGAAGCAGTCGTCTCTCCCTCAGGGACGCTGGCAGGGCGGTGATGGAGCAGAAACTGGAGATACTGTAAAAGTCAGGCTGAGGAGGAAGATACACTGAGTGGGTTTTTGAAAGACTGCTGGGTATTTGAGGGTGTGTGCAAAGCATATGGCCTGTGCTAATCATTGCCTTCAAAGTTCAGCTAATGAAGCTAATTATGCCTGTTGGCTAATTGTTCTCATTGGGCCATCACTGGTACCTGCTCCAGTAGTGTGAGACTGGAGGACATTAAGTTTACAGTTTATTTGAGTAACAAGGTGACAAACAGTTGTGACGGACAATCGAAGGCTGCTGTAAATATCTGTGGTGCATTCCTGACAGAGATGATTTTTACAGAATCTGAAAGGACCATTAGATACATCCCATGTCTAAAATAATATCATCAGGATATAAACTACACTCAAAATGACACTAATTTCATGTTATTTAATTTGTATAAATAAAGTAACCCTTAACGATGTAATAAGTAATTTAAAAAGCTATAGACTCTATAGTATAGAGCTTTTTATGGACCTGAGACTCATTTATTTATTTATCCATTTTATTGCTCTTGCTGTATCTAAAATATACTTGCTATAAACCTAAAATTGTTTTCTATTATTGATAAATTTGCACGTTTCTGTTCCTTCATTTGATCACCTATGGCCCCTGTTACATCCCCAGTCGCCTGTAAAATAAACATCTCTCTTGGAATTGCCTCTCCCAAAGTTGTTTCTGTTTTTCTTATGTGCTGCGACTTCTTCTTTGTAGATTGTATTCTCCTCTCCGTAGAGATGCTGGGCTGGGTAGGAATAAATGTTGCTTTGACCCTGTAAAGCCCAATTAGATATTATATTGGAAATGTACAAATGCATTTTTTGTCTCTGCATTTCAATTTGAGTAAATTAAGAGAACGTTGACTTGAAAATGGATTGAAAGTAAAAGGTATTTGCTCCCCTCTGTTTCTCAGTTTTGTGCAGAATTCATGGTCTTATAATATTGTACGTGTGTGCAGGCCGTCTGAACTGGTGGTCCACCATGTGCACTAGCTGTAAGAAGCTGCTTCCTCTGGCCACCACAGGGGACGGGAACTGCCTTCTGCATGCTGCCTCTTTAGGTGAGCTACTCATGTACACTGGAGTATATCTAACACATGATATTACCATATCATCCATAACAACTGTGCAAGACGCTGTCTATTAACAGCGTCAGTGCTGCGTCACAGCTGCTGAATCCAGAGGAGGGAGTGGGAAAGGAGGATTGGAAGAGCAAAGGTAGCAAGGAAGGGAGGGAGGGAGATAAGTGACCTATACATTGCAGGAAACTGTCAGCTGCAGGGTTCAGTGGATTCACAGTTTATTCAGGTCCCTGCCGAAGGAGGTTGTTGACTTCCCAGTGTGAGGACGACTGCAGCAGGAGCTGTCAATGTTCGAGGCAGCAGAGCTAATGCAATTTACACTGACAGTCGGACAACTAAGGCCCTTTGATGAGTGATGAAAGACATTTTTAGACAGGAAGTTAAAGAGCTGAGGTTTTCTCATAATGATTATATAGTTTGGTGCAATGGCTGTGTTATTGTTTTATGTCCTCAATATTAACAAGCAGTAACGGTGTCTTGAATCTGTGTCAATCAGGGATGTGGGGCTTCCATGACAGAGACCTGATGCTGAGGAAATCCCTGTATACCATGATGAAGAGCGGAGCGGAGAGAGACGCTCTGAAGAGGAGGTGGAGGTGGCAGCAAACCCAACAGAACAAGGAGGTTGGAAGAGTAAATGCATCACATCCACTTTCACGAATGATAGCATTAACACATCCATAAGAGCAAGCGAAGGGATGAGCCACATGTAACCACTGCTATTACGCGCTGATTTTAGCTTCCTTGCTGGGTCGCACATTTGGATTTTTGCTGCGAGGAAAATAGTCTTTTTGATGATACCATGTGTGCATTAGTAGCAGTGTTAATACTGTCAAATCCTCTGCACTTCCTCTCCCTTCTCTTGATGTTCATGGATTAAAGTATTTGCCAATCTATTAGAAAAATGGTGTCACCAAAGATAGCTCAGGCAAAGAAGTAGTCCAGATGCTCATATTTTAAAAATGCCTTCGGGCGTTCTGGTGGCCCACTGATCTAAGACGCACACCATGTAAACGCAGCGTCCTGGTTTGTTGCATGTCATCCACCTTTCTCTAATTACGCATAATTCCTGTCTGTTTTTTTTCATCTTTCATCCATTAACGGCAAAAATATGACAAAAAATATGTAGATGCATAAAGCTTCTGGAGATAACTTTGGAGATTAATTATGATAAATAATGATAAGGATTGTGTGGGTGATTTATTAGAAATTCTCTATGTGTGTGTGTGTGTGTGTGTGTGTTGGTGCAGTCGGGGCTGGTGTACACTGAGGAGGAGTGGGAGAGAGAGTGGAACGAGCTGCTGAAGTTGGCCTCCAGTGAGCCTCGCACTCACCTCAGCAAAAACGGCAACACCAGTGGAGGGTAAGCAGTTTGACTCACATTTATCCCCATTTTACTCCCAAAGACACAACGAATAATACATCCCTTCAACCAGAATCCAGCAATGTTTGCTCCGTAGTCATTGTATAAGATGGCGAGTGGAACAACACGGAGCAGCCGTAGTGAGTGTTGCACAGCTCTCGTCCCACATCACACATCACACTCTCCTGCTGTGTTTTAATGGCTTGTACGTTGGAACACCGCAGGAGGCCCACAGTTAAATAAAACAAAAGTGACCTTCTCACTTCGATGGATTTGTCAGGGAAACTCATTGTTCCCACTAGTACTTTAAAATTGACTCCTTGATTTAATAACATTGTTGATGCTGTAGTGTGAGACTGTGCCATCTACTGGCTGCCATCAGTATTAATCATTTGTCCCCCCCCACCCGATGCATAAACAAGTGTATGAGTGGGTTTATCATAGGCTACAGAGGCAGATCTGAAACTAACTGTAGTTTCCTCTTCCTACGCACAGAAACCTTGTGGTTTGTCTCTTGTTTCCATTTTCACTGAAAGTATCACTCATTCTCTCTCTTATCTACACGATGGGCATAGCAGCTATTTTGGTAGAGAAAAAACAACTATGATGGAAATAAAAAAAACTCACCAAGGTGTCTGCTGGTTGAAATGTAATTCACTTGAATAACTTGTGATCTAAGCAGGTTGTGGCTATCTGCGCTCAGTGCTGACTTCAAAGCTAAATGTAAAAAACCTCATGAGAAAACATGCAACGGCTATTTCCGTGTGACAGCAGCATCTGAAAACTATTTAATAACTGCGTTAATTAGCTGTCCTCGCCAGCGTTGACTTATCCAGCACAAAGCCCTCTATCACTGAAAATATCCCACAATTTACCCATTTATTCTGGTGGTTTTAACCTCTCATTGAGTTAGACTCTAATACAGTAATCAGGTCAGGGACGTTTGATGGTCCTAGTGTGAGATGAGCCCCTAAATAGGATGAGTGGGATTCACATATTAAGAGGCTCTTTATTAGAGTGAATTTAGCAGCGTGGCTGTTTGTATGGCTGACAACTTAATTGTTGCACATCATCTGGTTCCCTGGCGGTTGCATGCCTGATAGCTCTGCCTCTGCTTTTTCTCTCGGTCTCACCCTCTCTCACTCTTTATCTCTCCTGCTCTCTTTCATTCAATCTCGTGTACGAATAGATGGATCTTTGTACAAGTCTGTTCAAGGTAGCCAGAGGGCAAAATGGATCAGGTTAGATCACGCAGGCACATGACATTTACTGTTTGGCAGATGTTTTTGCATCCCTCTATTCCAAGTCAGGAAATTGTCACAGTATCCCATGATCCCACTGTGTTACATGGTTGTTGTTGGTTTTATGTTGCAGGGTGGATAACTCTGAGGATCCGGTCTATGAGAGTCTGGAGGAGTTCCATGTGTTTGTGCTGGCCCACGTGTTACGCAGGCCAATTGTAGTGGTGGCGGACACCATGCTCAGAGACTCAGGAGGAGAAGGTAGGCTGACCGCATCTTGCGTTGATCTTCTACACTACAGTAGGATAAGCAATGTACTGACACTAGATGTGGTGTTCCAGCGTTTGCTCCCATCCCGTTTGGAGGGCTCTATCTTCCTCTGGAGGTTCCTCCGAGCCGCTGCCACTGCTCTCCTCTGGTCCTAGCCTACGATCAGGCTCACTTCTCCGCACTGGTGTCCATGGAGCAGAGAGACCAGCAGCGAGAGCAAGGTAAGCAACTGTGCATCATCACAAAACCACTTACCGTACATAATGTTCACGGAGAAATCTGGAGGCATACGCAGATTGGAATGTGGGATGTGAACCTTTCGTTGACCTCCTGTTCTTCAAAAATCCCAAGTGTCACCTGCTGTAATGTGCATTAGTGAGGCAGTCTCTGGTTTAACTTTAAGTGGGTAGATTGCAAGAATGAGGGCGAGTGGTCCGCCTGTCCTGCTAGAGGTGAATAATGTATGAGACAGCAGTCTAATTACCTGTGCTCCATTATTAAAGCAGGCCAGTCGACAGCAGGAACCAGGGAGTGGCCAACGTGGATGGGAAGTGGACAGCAGGCAACTTCTTCTGACTTACTGAGCACTGATCAAATCATTCAATTGTATGTAGTTGTGTATCCACATCTCTCTCTCAGAGGTCACTGTTTGAATTTAGAGAGTTACAGTCGGTCTGTTTACGGTTTGCCTCTTTCACGGGGCTCTGTGATACGGTGCTGCATAGAGCATATTTATTGTGTTATGTCGTGGCGACGGGGTGTGGATTTTCCATTTCGTGTGAGTGGCTCTTGTTTTTGTCTTGTTGTGCTTCCACTCCGGACATGTTGCTTATTCTCGAGGTCTGAGTAATCTTCACATGGAGTTCCTTTAATTGACAAATAGAGTGGATCTCCTTGACAACCGGTCTTGGTAGTCACGGCACTCTTCTTTATCTGACTCAGTGGGTGGAACTCACTTGTCACTTGCGTGGGCTGTCGGCCAGCTCGTCCCTCTGCCTCTTTTTCTCACTCTCAAACACAGATACACTTATGCAAACTGTTTCTCTCTTCCTCTCTCTGTCTTCCTCCTTCTCGTGTGCTTTTCTGAGCCTGTACGTTTCCTATTCTCGGCATGTAAACACCAACCTAGTTATTACGTCTGGGTACGACCACTGCAGACTTAGCAGACAGACGTGATTACTATCATGCAATCCCTGCCCTGAAGTCATTCCCTTTTAATGCCAGCAGCACATCAGGGATGAAAGGCAGCCTACTCCACAGCACATAACTATTCAGCACACCCACTTTTATTTATTTGGGTGTTTTAGTGTTGCAGAGGTGGGTTCTCTGTTTTGTCCACCAGATGGTGCATACGTCCAAAGAAGCGGCTGTAGCTAGAACACTACAGCACTGCATGACTCTACTTTTTCATTCTGGTACACTGTGTCCTGTGATAGGAATCAGAGTGCTTTTTGTCTGCATTCTCTCTCTCTCTCTCTCTCTCTCTCTCTCTCCAAGATGTTATGAAAACATTTGCATGCTTAGCTCGGTGCATTTGTATGTCACGTGATGAATCATATTTCACAGCAATGACACAAATCTGTGCTGCTCATGGCATGTTTCCCTGCATTTGTTATGTATGTAAGAGGTGTAGTTTTATTGTTTTATATGATATTTATAAGTAATGTGTGTTTCTGAATTTTAAGAAATGGTACAATGCTTATATGCTGAACAGACAGGCAGAGGGTCAGACAGACAGACCTAATCTTCCATTGCCAATTAGGACAGAGCAGCGCCAGCCGGCCCTTAAGCCCTCACCACATCACCACATATGGGCAGGGTCCCGTGTTGGGGCCTCAACAAACCGATCGTCTCTGCTTACAGTCAGGCCAGTGTGCGGACGTCTCAGGTAGAGGGTTGGTCTCAGTTCCCCCAGCAGAGTGAAGAGCATCCGAGAAGCTGTCGGCCCTGTGTGTGTTCAGGTGCCAGAGGCTGGGTTAGAATACTGGCTCTTTCTTCAGCCGTCTGTACGGAAGGTTATAACGAAGTAACCCGATTCTAAACCACACTGACACATCACTCTACTGACCCTTTTATGGCCAGCTTGCATGAAAAACAAAACAAAAGGGAGGGGTGTCTAAAGTCTAAAGAGGTTATTGCTAAGGATCAAAACTTTCTTTTATTTCATTTTTCTCCCACTGGGCACATCCCAACTGCACAGTCAAGTTGTTTTTTTCTTCTGAGTAAGGTAGTCAGGTGAACCCAGAGCTTTCTATGTGTTTTCTATCAGCCCACTGCTGCTCACCTGCTGTGTGATAATGACTGGCTCCTCAGTAGACGCTGTTGGCAATGTCTTTTATCAGCTTGTTTGTGCTCCTGTGGTTAAACGATGTGTGAGTGGAACTGGACCTCTAAAAAACGGTGGAGCTATTTCAAGCTCTGGTCCCAGTACCAAAACACTTCCAGGTTTTCTTTGGCATCCCATCGTCAACCCCCTAACACCCATCTGAATGAAGTAAATGGCCGTCTTTTACACAAAGACCACCTACATAACAGTAACAGTGTAACCATCCAGCTCTGGCCAGGTTCTACCTCTCTACCTATTAAAGACACCCAGTGTATTTCTCCCCATGCAGTCGGCGTAGTTAAATCAATATGGCAGTCTGAATTAAAATGCTATTTGTTGTGGTTTTATATGTTACTTCAAATGTGATGCTCTTGTAATTACCACCATGGTTCTGCTGTTAAAATCTGTGGTGAAAATAAGCTCAGGCTTGTTTATATCCATGACTGCTGTTTAGTCTGCTGAATTGAGTCCTTTAAATCTGCAGCTGGGCTGAGTGACCAAAGTCAAGGATTCAAATTTGTGCATTTTCCAGACAGCACAAATTTTTCTTGAATTGTAAACAGAGGAAACATTGGCTCACTGTTCCTGCTGTGACTAAAAGCTTGTAATGGGTGAGTGTCCTCTGAAGGGGGTAAACGAGGAGAGAGAATCCTCTCCTTCCCTGCTCTCATGACACGAGGCATGATATACTTGTACTTTTTAATTTTGTGCAAACTAAAAAAAGCAATCAAATCATGTGAATGCATGCTTAGAAAGGTTATCTACCTCATTTCCAGCAGCTGTTTCCTCACAGGTTACACCCAAGTCCCCCTCCGATTTCAAAGATGCAAACTGAGCAAGGCGACGCAGGCTGACAGCTATGTTGCTGAGTACACAGCTCGCATAGCGCAGAGGGCTATGATGTCATCCATGCATAAGCTATGGGAATCGGTCATTCAAGGACAACAAAACAAGGCTGCCAACAGGGATAGTAAATACATTACAGCACACTTTAGTCCCCCAGAGCTCCATTGGCAGTGTTGAATCTGAAATCTGGACCGGACCCAAGTGGGAACAACAGCACACACAGCAGTTTGGAATGGCGTGAAAGGAGGACAGCTGCATCGTGGGAGCCAGGACGCCACCTCACGGACCTCCGCTGCCTGCTGCATGACCCTTACTGGGAACTGAGTGGGAGCTGGTTAACTGCGTTCTGTCTGTCCGTGTGTGTTTCTGATTATGACTGAATTTTTCTGGGCAAGAGTGTTCTAGGAAAGACCCTTCTTTAAGAAAACCACTCTTTTTTTTTTTTTCTCCCAGTTTTCGTCGCTGCAATGCCAATGCTCTCATTACTGTTTGTCTCTATGGTTACAGGCATTAGTCATGCTTTTTTATTTTTTTGGAAGATGGTGTAAAATGCATCGCAATTTACAGGTATGACGCAAAGGCAACCTTGACATTTAAGGACAGGTCTAGGCGGGTTTGTCAGCACTGCTATTAGTGATGTATTTACTCAGCTGTTGGAATTTGTTTGCATAGCGACTAATGGTGTCACATACCAATAAGTGATCATGTTTGCAGTGTTAAATTTGCTAGCATGGGTGTGGCCGCACTAATTCTCTTTCAAAAACGTAAGGCATCATCACTATGCATGTATCAACACTATTTTGACACATGTGATTTATAGTGTACTTTGCACCTATGCACAGGCACTCAGGAAGAGACACAAGTGGGTAAGAGTGAGCGTTTGACCTGCAGTTTCACCAGGGACACGGGAGGGGCCGTTGCTGCTCGTGTCTGTGTCCGCATGAAGCCTGCAGAGCAGAGCAGCCCAATGGCGGAAGAATTGATAAGGCGGGGAGGAGACTGTATCTTCCATCTGGGGCTGACAGTGAAGGCTGGAATGTCCTCTGCCTGAACAGCCTGCCTCTCTCTGCTGTCTTCCGGACAACAGCCCCCACACTAGGCAGCCTGAGGAGAGCTGTCATGTGGGCCAGTGGGGTCTAGCTAGTCCTCCTCACACTCTTGTTTTGAAAGGCAGCCATGCACTCACACACAAACACGTACACGCCCGCACTGTGCACATAATATAAGCACGCTTCCCACGAGAGGAAGCTCGGGTGGGTGTCTGTTTTATGTGCTCTGTCCAGTGTTATAATGTTGAAAATATCTTCCTGCTTGTAAGTAGCTGATCATATCAGCAGGGTATGAATGAAATTATTTCAGCACTTGTTCAATTTTTCAGCAGTCCTGTGTCTGATTGCAATCTATTACTAAACTAAATCATCCTGTACAGCCCCGAACAACTGCAGAGCTACTCGGTTCAATGTGAATCCAAGCAGCAGCCTCATCGTGCCAAACTCAGACTACCAAATCCTTTAGTTTAGCTTAGGGGTGCTTTCAGTTGGTCACAACCTGGGTCCTATTTTGGTAGTTTTGCCCATCACTCTTTCTGGTAATGATAACACTGCACTGACCCAAGTATCTGCAAAGGTCTGGGATGTCTCTAAAAAGAAAACACACAAGGCCGACACCACGGTTTATGTGGAAGAGAAAACAAAGACAAACGGTAAAATTATGACCCACGGTGTGTGTTGTAAATTCATCACAGTTTACAGACTGACTTCCTACTTCAACTTTGACCTAACATACTTCCTATAGTTGTGCATGCACATTGTTTCTGTGAATCAAAGGATTATGACCAACATTAAAAGTATACTCTGTTTGGATTTACCGCCAAATAAAGTGTTTTAGATAATCTGACTAAACTGGGTTTTTTTATTTTTTGCCTTGCCCCATTGGACTTCTGAGTGTTATGTCTAGATATTGCAGTGTTATCATTAGAGATAGTAAAGATTCCGATGAAAATAAGACCCAATTTGAGAATTAATAATTCATTCTTGACCTTCACTGTCTGGATGAGTCAGCATGAGTGACACTCACTGGTCACGGTTACTTCTCTGCCTAAAAAATGTATGTCAGATAGAATGCACCCACAGTATACTTTACCCCATGCTGACAGACATCTGGGATAATTAACATGCCATTATTCTAGTGAGTCAGTATGGTGTCACGTTAGCTCTGACACCACGGTGGCCTTGTGAGAGAATGGGTGGCGTGCAATATAGACTCCGGTGGTAGAGCTAGACCAAACTAACCTTCTGATAATCTCATCTCTTCCAGCTGTTATCCCTCTGACTGACTCGGAGCACAAGCTGCTGGCACTCCATTTTGCCGTGGACCCTGGCAGGGACTGGGAGTGGGGGAGGGACGACAATGATAATACCAAGCTAGCCAAGTAAGTCCTGGAGAGCATATCGCAGGGTGTTGATGCTTATCAACAAAGAACACAGTGGCGCTGACTACGAAAGACCCACGAAGGGTGAAAAACTGCAGGCCAGGGCAGTTCTGTTCGTCTACACACAGGGCTGTATGTGGAGGATTTAACTCTCATTATGGCCTCCGAGCTCAGGTCACTTTAAAGAGTGAGCCGAGAGAGAACAAATTGTGAGATACGTCAGTCATCCATAGGGTTTTCCAGGAATGGCCTCACTAAAGCAGCAACACACTAACAAAGAGTTTATCTAAGGGTTTTCTGTTTCACATTCCTGCCAGTCAGGGGGTCAGCTTATCATTTAAAGGAACAGTTCACCCCAAAATACACCCAAAAATACATTTGCTGTGAGTGGCCTACTTTTAGAGATGGCGCCAAAGAGATGTCTGCCCTCTTTCGAGTATATTGGGACTAGATGTCACTGGGCTTGTGGTGCTCAAAGCGCCAAAAAATACATTTGGAAAAACTACAGCAATGTCTCTTTCCAGACATCGTGACCTGGTTACTCAAGATAATACACAGACCTAGTTTTATGTAGGAACTATTTTCTGTCAACCAAACTACACCTGTCAACCGTATTCCCAGGGTGCGTCTATAATCAATAAGGTTACATCTCGTCCATGAGTAGATGCACGCTTCCTTTTGCACGCTTCCTTTTACACGCTGATACCGTTTGCGGCTGTAGATCGAGGGTCTGTGGATTATGTTGAGGGACCGGGTCATGTTTCTGGAGAGAGATATTGCTGTTTTCAAATGCATTGTTTTGGCACTTTGAGCACCACAAGCTGTAATATAGTCACAGCTTAATGGAGAGAAAGCAAACATCTCTACAGCCAATATCTCCAAAACTAGGCATTTCTGACCAAAACAATATAGATTGATAAATAGCACTACAGGTAAATATGTATTTCTGATTTTGGGGTGAACTGTCCCTTTATCAAGCTCCAATGCAGATATACATGGAAAGAATGTTCAAGCTTCTAATAACACCTCTTTATATTACCCTTAATGCATTGCAAGCATTCAAAGTTTTCTTAAATTCAATAAGTTCCTAAAAATGTCAAACTCAGATCCGTTAATATGCTATATATGCCATTGGGTTCTAGTAAAAAAAAAAAAAAAGGTCACTGTTATATCATCACTGCTAGTTGTTAATTGTGGTCACATGTTCTCCCACAGTCTCATCTTGTCTCTGGAGGCCAAACTCAACCTGCTGCACAACTACATGAATGTAACATGGATCCGAATTCCATCTGAAACAAGGGTAACGTTTTCTCACACGTGTTTGTGGTTCATCACGGTTAATTTAGCCAGAGAGACATTTCAGATTCCAGATGATCTTGAAACCACATACTGTTCAATCAATCACTTTTATCTACTGTCAGAGTCCCAGGAATTCCTCTGTTTTTTCTGATTATGTACTTTTAAAAATATTTTTGGGGGAATTTGTCTGGAATAGATTGGGAGTCCCTGAGAAATTTCCCTGAGACCTCATTGCTATGTTCTGTGTTTTATTCATTGCTGTGTGTTTTTGTGTGTATTTCTGTGCAGGCTCCCCTCGCTCAGCCAGAGTCTCCCACAGCCTCTGCAGGTGAGGATGTCCAGTCTCTAGCTGAGTCTATGGACTCTGACCGCGAGTCTGTCGGCAGCAACTCTAACGTCAACAACGGCAAGCCCAGCAAGGAGAAGGACAAAGACAAGCAGCGCAAGGACAAAGACAAGAGCCGGGCTGATTCTGTAGCCAACAAACTAGGTAGCTTCAGCAAAACCTTGGGAATCAAGCTGAAGAAGAACATGGGAGGTCTGGGTGGCCTTGTGCACGGAAAAATGAACAAATCTAACTCTGGCTCAGGTCGTAGTGGGGAGAATGGAGGGGAAAAGACAAAGAAAAAGGAATCTAAGACAACCAAAGGGAGCAAGGAGGAGTCGGGCCAGTCAGCCAGCTCCACTTCCTCTGAGAAGACCACTAGTCCATCCCCTACAGACAGAGACGGACCCTCCAGCTCCTCCCCCCCAGGGAGACAGGACAGTGCAGCGAGAGACAAGACCCTGGAAAACTGGAAATACAGCACCGATGTCAAGCTCAGCCTCAACATCCTGCGGGCTGCCATGCAGGGGGAGCGCAAGTTCATTTTTGCAGGCCTCCTGCTCACCAGCCATCGACACCAGTTCCACGAGGAGATGATCAGCTACTACCTGACCAATGCCCAGGAGCGCTTCAGCCAGGAGCAGGAGCAGAAGAGGAAGGAGGCCGAGAAGAAGCCGCCTGCCACTAACGAGGTGGCCGTGAAGAAGCCCGAGCATGAGAGTGTCTTCCAGAGGGAGAGATCGGACAGCTCGCCACCGGAGAGCTGCTCTCCCGTCCTGCCCCACCACACCCACACCTACAACCACAACTCCCAGCCCCCACTGGGTCTCAAGATGCAGGGCAGGAACAGTCCCACTCCTGCAGCCCCTCTCATCTCTGTCCCAGTCCCTCCTCTCACCCCGCCAACAGCCTCCCACCATGTCCCCCACCCAGCCCCAGCCCCTGCGCCTTACTCCTCCCCCAGTATTGGTGCTAAGAGACCTGGGCCCGTTCCCGTGTCTGCCCACTACAGCCATACACCGCCCATCCAGCGGCACAGTGTGATTCACTTACAAGATGTCAACTTGCAATCCTCCATCTTCCAAGATGACCCCTATAAGCCTGTGGTGGGCACCCTAAAGACATGCGCCACCTACCCCCAGCAGAACCGCACACTCTCATCCCAGAGTTACAGCCCCGCTCGACTGTCCGGGGTCCGCACTGTTAACACCATAGAGACCCTGTCCTACAACATGCCTGGCGAACACAAGTCTCACACCTACACCAATGGATTCAACGCGGGGGACATTCAGGACTGCTTGGAGTTTGCTGATGAGGACAACTCGTCTCACACCTGGCTCAACCAAGAGAAAACCAAAGGGCGGAGCTCTGGAAGCCCTTTGTACTGCTTTCAGCAGCGCCGCTGCAAGAGGGAGAACTGCTCCTTCTACGGCAGGTCAGAGACAGACAACTACTGCTCCTACTGCTACAGAGAGGAGCTGAAACGCAAGGAGAGGGAGAGCAAAGTGCAGAGGCCCGCATAGCCATCACAGCCACTTCAGCCACATGTCAGCAAGGCCGCAGGAGACGTGAAGGAACGACACCATCTGCACTCTGCATTTAGAATAACATGATGGCAAACATTTTCCTATTTTGTTGAAGAATGCTCTTGTATTCCTGTCACCCCTCCCTTGTTAGTAAAGATTATTACTTTGTGATAGGGGAAGCAGAACTTGAAACAGTGAGCAGCTTTGGCCAGAAATTGTGCTGTGTTTTTTTGTTTTTTTTGTCTCATTGAAGTTAGTCTTTTACTTGTTTTAGAGTAAAAGTCATCTCTCTGTGATATAACGTTCTGTATGTGAGGGAAAGTTCTTTATTTTTTAAAGTACAAAAAGATTTGCATCTCATCAGGAGGGAACATTTTAGCTCTTTTCATCAGTTTGAATGCAATACCTCTGCTTGGTTCTTCAAACATTTGTAGTTGTTTTGCAATCAAAAGAAATTCAATGGGAGATTAATATTAGACTTTAAAGCAATAAATTGGTGATTTTTGCTACACCCTCTCCCAATTTTGTCTATGCACCAATAATATAGTTACTGTAGGTTAACTGTGTCTTGTAAATTGTAAAGGATTGTCACGGTGTGCTTTTGTAAACAAATTTGAACTACAGGAATTAAAATGTGTAAGCATTATAGATTGTAATCTTGGATTAGGATGAAAATGTAAAACTATCTCATTTGTTAAGTGTACCTTTGTTCTTGCCACAGTACAAGGGTTTCCTGTGTCAGAATTGGACTCAAGATAATGTGTAAGATATCATTTCACATTTGCACCCGAAGTCGACCTCCTTAAGTCCACGAGCACTGCCAAACTGGCTTCCTTAAAAAAGATTACAATTCGAATTTTTCAAAATGTTTTCTGTGGCAAACACCGAACAGTGTGCAGAGGATCAATTGCTTCTGAAATATGCAGTGTTTATGGTGTGTTTCTCTGAGTCGCCTGTTAACTACTCTATTCGGTTAATGTGTTAGATGAGAAGAATTGTGGGTAGTGAGAGCAGGCCGATGCGTATTTGTCTGAAGTGTGATTACGTGTCTCTTCCCCTCCACACAAACAACACAATGTGCAATCATGCTATTAGCACTATGTGGTGACCTGCAGTATAGATGTGTCACTGGTCCAGTGTGAGATTGTCTGTTCTTCCATATCTAGAGGCCGTTTAAAAGAAGCACCTGCTGCTAAGAGCACCTCAAGCCTTTGTGATCATCAGTGCTTTAACCAATCAGTGGGTTTGTAAAACCCCGGGCCTCCAAGTGCTTTCTGCTCATTCGACATGACTACTGTAACGACGCAGTGTTTGTGTTGCTGTTTGTTCTGGTGATGCTTGGATAATGTACCATGCTGTCCTTACCTAAGTGTGTCCTGGCCAAGGATGTCCACTGCTCCCTGGGTTTGCTTCTGTCTCTCTCCTGTACACACTGCAGTGTTGCTCCTCTTTGTTTCTATGTGACAAGTTCATGGACTCTCACCATGTTAGGACTGTAAGATATGATTTTGTATTCCTTTAAGAGTTTTACACTACTTTAAATTATTAATTTGCACATTAGGTACAGATGTAAATATGAAAAAAAATAGTTTATTGTTACAAACATGGTGTGTCTGCGTCATTTTTGTATTTCCTCAAGGCGGTTATCATCAGGAAATCTAGAGATTATAGAGTTTATTTTTAGGCTGATGATTTTCTAAATCAATATTCAATCACGTTACCATTGAGATCATGTTGTTTAGGTTTCTCTTGATCCACATACGTTACAATACACTTTGTTTGCTATTGATTAGCTTTTATCCTCTTTTCCTTTTTCTAGTAAGGCCTAAAAGCAGACGATAACTGGTTAAATGACTGTATTAGGGTACCAGAACTAATCACAACTGAATATGGTTATGTTGTTTTAAACAACAATCACTGAGGATGATTATTTGAACTGTCACACTTTTCCCTGAAAAGTACAATTGGCATTAGCATAGCTTAGCAGCATCTTTAAAGGGGTACACCACTTTTAACATTGCACTTCTATAATGTTGATGGACTTGTGAGAGACTGCAACAAAGACCGAAATATGCTGATTTTTTTGTTGCAAATGTGGGTCAAGCTCCAAACAGACTGGATCCTACAATTCCTAGTTTCCCAGATTCAACAGTTTCTATTGTAAAACCCTTCTGGCTGGTCTTTTAAACTCCATGCCCCAACTTTGTAACACCGACTTTAAAGAGTTTAAAGTCCCAAAGCTGAAGCTGAGATAACCCTGATGAAATCACCAGGGTTAACTTCTCAGACTTGACAAAGCTTCTCCAGAGCCTCACGAGACATTATACAACTGCAAAGTACTTCACACGAACTGCTCTTCATGTCTAAAATCAGTGCAGTGGCCCTTTAAGAGACTATTTGTCTCTAAAATAGGACACTTTCTATGGTTATTTGAAAAAGGTAATTAATCTTGCTTTTTGAATGAGTCAAACAAAATAGAATGAGGGGAACATTTCCACCAAAATCCTTCTGAGATTACAGCGTTGAGATTCTTGGGAGTGAACTGACAAGTAGGGCAGCACTCCAGACTTGGAGCTCTAGCTGCTTTATTCCTCCAGAGATGCCTCGGCATTGGCATTAGGGTCGATGCCACGCAGCGAAAGAGGCTTTGGAAAAGCAGCAGAAAGTCAGCAAGTGCATTCATGTGAGAGTGTCCTCCAACCCTGCCATGGTTAAATCTGGTGATGGCTTCCTGTATGCGAGCAAATGTCAAGACAAATGGTGTCAAACACTCAGTGACTCAAATGACTCAGAGGAAATTCAAAGAAATGGCTAATTATTTATTTACCTTTCTAGATATGAATGGATTAATTTAATTACAGCTTAATTAAATCTTCAAATGCCGAGAAAAGCAGCTTGTGAGAATAACAGAGTGAGAAGGGATTCATTGTAGCACATTAAAAGCTGTGACCAAAGGCTTCCAGTCAAATGATCATCATTGGATATACACAAGCATGGTTAAGTAAATATAGAGTGTCTTTAGGGTTGTTTTTAAAATTTCTAGCTGGCAGCATGGCTCTAGTGATGTCAGTCAGTTGCTCCACCACGATTGAATATATCGTCATAGCATTTTGCACAGACAATACTTTCCCCCTAATAATGAATTTGTAAAAACGTTTGCATTCCCCTAACTTTACCTCCTCCTAACTCTCTTTGTTTTATGAATGGATGACGGCAAGACTAATGACATTCCCATCAGCCCCAGCTGTACTTGTGTTCAGTGCAAGTGTTAGCATGCTTAAATGCTCACCTAAGCTGAGGAACAAGGTAAAATTGTTTAAATGTTAGCATTGAACTCAAAGCAACACTGTGCCGAAGTACAGCCTCAAAGAGCCTCTAGCATGGCTGTATACTGTAAGGTCTTGTTAAACTATTAGGCACCCACAGATTGCAATAAGTGAGGAGAGAAATAGTGACCTGTACAGTAAATATAAGTTTAGGCAGAGTAACAAATCAGTCCCTGTCTCTGTCAGAACTCCCAAATGCAAATGTAGAAAGAAAAGGAAGAACATCTTTTTCGATAAAAGAGTATGAGGTAAAGTTAGCCTTTGCTTTTTTCAAGAATCCAGAGTCTGTATTGTAGCAGCTGGCTGAGTTGGTGGAGTGAGAGTGAGGAGAACGTTGCAGTAGCCTGTAATGAGTGGGATGAATTGCATACTTCTGACTGAGATATAGTCTCGTGACTGGGCTGCTAGAGACAACAATGTGGGTTGACTTCTCCAACTGTTTCCCCCGTGCTTCAGGTCACATCTGTGGACTGCGGCTGCTAATAATATGGAATGACTTGTTAAGTTTTGAAGATGACTTACATCTCCACGTGATGTCTAATGTTAGTCACACAATGGCACATGAGGGGTCCTTTTCTTCCCAGCAATGTATCCCCGAGCTCTTGAATCCTGCGTCCTCCATAACAAGTGCTGAATGAGACAGAGTGCATTGTCTTCTTTCTTGGATCCCCTTTTCTCAGAATTCCCTTTGAATTTGCATGAGGGACCTCCCTTTGCTTTTCAAAGCAACAAAGGGCTCTATCAGGCATGCAGCAGTCGTTTGGCAGGCCTCTCATCCTCTCAACACAGCCTCCATGTTTTGTTAGATTCACTCAACTCATTAAAACTAAAACACCAGGATATAGTAATTCTGAATTGCCTATTATTTCCCTTTCAGATGCATCTGTCTCCTTCCTCACATAATAAGAACCCATTAGAGGCCTCAATGCAACACAATAGTTCATAAATATAGATTTTTATGATAAGCAGTTGTCCCATTAAGATAGTGAAAATAAAAAGTGGGTATATGAAGTGAATATTCCGATCGTCTTTGTACAATTCTGGTTTACTAGACTGTAAGGCTCTACCTGACAGTATTTACAGGGCTGTTGTGTTTTAAGCAGGTTGATGCCTTTGATGCCTCCGCTGCAGTGAGTGGTAATGCCAACCCCCCCACACACACACACACACACACACACACACACACACTCCCATAGCTAAGCCTTGTTCTCAGCCAGTGCCAGCCTCCAATATCTGAGCTCATCCCACCCGCTCTGCAGGATCTAGCGCCAGCCCCGCCATGCACTGCACTCAAGAGTGGGTGGCATCACATGGCCTCTCAGCCTGCCTTCTGGGGCTTGGCATGGAGGAAGAGGGACGTACACACACACACACAAACACACACACACACAGGCCTCTGTGCGATTAAGACCACTACTGCTACTGCTGCCACTGCTGACCACATCTCTCCCTTCTTTTCTGTGGATTAATTCTACTGAGTCTCAAAGTCAGCGATGCCCACACACCTCAGTGGAGCATAGACCCTTTCCAGGCCACAAAGTCTCCCACGCTCTAGACTTTGAGTGTGTCGGGTGCACCAATCAGCAGCGGGTACCACCAAACACCCACCCCCTCATCCTCATCTTCCATCTCTCTCACACGATGTACTGTGCCTTTCCTAAGACAATGCATTTGAAATAACTCGTGGTTGAGGTTCTCGCCACCCTGTAAATCACTGAGTTAATTCTGCGTGCAGAACTTCACCTGGAGACTGGGTGCTCGGGAGTCGATAATCCAAAGAAAAGGCGTGACTGAAGAGATAAATCAGTCAAACTGAAACTACCTCCGCCCCCACATCCTGTCTGCAGGGTGATACCAGCCGAGATGAGCTGTCACTGCTTATATAACTGTGTGTACTTTGCCCCGCTTCTGCAGCAATACAACTCACTACAAAGGAGAGAATGTGTCATCCTCAGAATAAACACGTGATAGAAAGACGTGCAACCCAGAGAGTGGCTCAACCGCACAACCACCAAAACCTGAGATCTTTCTTGTAATCCAACAAGATACGTGTGAATGAGCTCAGTCAGTGGTTTGCTGAGGGTCCAGAGGCTCCACTTTCACACAGAGGAAAGATACAAGATGTGTATATTTTGAAGCCCTATTTTCCTTGACAACAGCTCCCTGCCAACATTCAATGCTTAAAACAATCAAAAATAATGAGTTAAATATAAACACACAAAAATGTCTCTCATGTTGCCACACAAATATGAAAGACAAGCTCTGGGAACATGCCGGCTGTGATGGCACACCAAGTTGTGTGGTGGTGCCAGGGGTGGCAGCTTGTCTGTTCGTGTAGTGTGGTGTGCTAGTAGCTCCAACCTGCCTGGAGACAGGAGGTGTACAGATTGAGCAGGGAGAACACCAGGCTCCTCATCAAAAATGTTAATGGCTTTGTTTTTTCTCTTCCTTCCTGTCTCGTTCCACATCGCGTGATTCATCATGGAGCGGGAGAGGACACACCTGCAGTCTCTGCATGGTGTTGATGGGCACACTTGGCTTAAGTGAAGGATAAATGCATGTTGAGCAGCACATGCAGATGGAGTGAGAAACTGCTTTTTGTGTGTCAGACGGGTTTAAACGTGTACTTTGCTCAGTGGGAAGCTACAGTTGATAGTGAATCATCCATTTCTCTGTATTTGCAAGTGCACTCGGTAAATACAGGAAACCTCGCACAATATATCATTCTATCGGGCCTGGAATACAATAGGGAAGGAAGGAGTCCCCAGCATTTGGTGCCCCGCCCATTGTTGATACCCCCAGCAGTTACTGTAAATATTTGCATGGGTGAAATGAGGGAACAAGGTGTACTTCCTGTTCCTGCAAGAAAAATACTGAAGCGCATGGCACACTTGTGAGGAAACTCTGTCTAACTGAGTAATATCCACCCATTTATACAGTTCTCTGCTGTAACTCTGCTCTAATGATTAAAATACTTTGGATCAATACAAGGAAATTCCTTAGGTGGGGTCTGATACACATCTGACATTAAATAAAAACACACTCTTTCTCTTAAAATTAAAATGTTAAATTTGTAAACAACAAAACACACTCTTCACTTCACGCTTCACTTGGTATGACCTTTAGCTTATGGTGACTAATGTTAGCTTATGCAACAGACATAACTGTGTCACTTCCCTGACTTAAAGGAATAGTTTGACATTTTGGGATTCACTTTCTTGCTGAGAATTAGATGGGAACATGGATACATCACTCTCATATCTAAACAGTAAATATAATGTTAGGGCTACAGCTGATTAACTTAGCATTAAGACTGGAAACAGGGGGAATCAGCTAGCATGGCCTTGTCCAAAGCTAACAAAATCTGCCCACCAGTACCTCTGAAGTTCATCAATTCATATTTTGTAACAGAAAAGGAAATGAGTACAAAACAACATTTTAGCTGCTTATTTTATGAATTTATTTCCAAATGTAAACTTCACTATATCATGCATACAAGTTATGACAACATACATTATTCAACAATCTGTTATTTTTCATATTTGCATAGGACATGGTCACAATATATTGTCTAACATGTAGAAAATAATGCCATAAAAAGGTACAGCAGAGCAGCTAAGACCAGCACATTAAATGTGTGTAGAACCCGAGGAACTGTACAACTGTAATACTTGTATGTAGTGATTTTGGTTTGCTGAGAGAGAAAAAACAAAATGACACCTGAAGGTTAGAGTGAGGTCTTAAGAAAATGTACTGGCCATAGCTGAGTCGAGAGTTATTTACAGATTAGATTATACTGGTGCTGAAAGGGGAAGCAGCACCATGGAGTCACTACAACAGGCAACTGATGGTGATGGGCAGAGGACAAACACACAGAGGTATCGAGAGAGCGACGTTACACTGAGGAGGTACACTGAGGACAAACAGGTACAGGAACCAGAACCAAAAGGCTGGTGGGTGGCTCTCTCTCTTTGTAATTAAAGGGAGGTCATTCACAGCACGCTGTGCTGCATAACCTGGAACAGACTAATCCTTTGAGGGCAAACATATCCAAAGCTTGAGCAAAATGCTTTTTTGTCAGTGTGCATTTCTGCTTTTTTGTCAGCGTGCAAGAGCAAATGCCGCACAGTGTCAGTTTGAGCAGTCAAGCAAGATCACATGGTCAGTGAAGGGTACAGACAGATGTGGTCTACTCCTCTGCACAGCCCTACTCTTTTGTTTCTCGTCTTTTTACTCAGTCAGAATTAGTTTGCTCGTAAGATTTAACAGGTTTTTGTTCATTCAAGTGATTTTCAAAAAGAAAGAAAAAAAGAAAAGAAAGCTTGCTTATTTGAGATGTAGAAAAAGGTCCGTATCAAGCACAACATCCATTAATCAACACCTACAGCATATAAAGTTGAACCCAAATGTCCAAACTGGGTTGGGTTCAAAGTTACTGCCACATTCATCTTTCCCTTCATAGCCTTTGGTAACAACTCGTAACTGTGGAGCCTTTGATGAGCTGCGAGAACTCAAAGCTCCTTCTCACTCTGAAGAACCTCTCTCTCCTATCATGCCTCTTAAAACATTATATCCCGAGCTTCAGGGCTTTGTCACGAGGGAGGACATGCATCAGTATGTCCTTGTCTTTTAAATATTACATATCAGAATACTTACTAAAATATTGCATGTGTGTTGTTCATTCAAATTGGCTAAGCCTATAGAGCCTGCAGAGTAGAAAGGAGAGACTAAACCACTGGGAAATGTTGACAATGAGAAACGTACCTTGTGCACAACGCACAATGTGTAAAACCTCACAGTCAAGACAGACTTCGATTCATAACCTACAAAAACGCATCGGGTCCATGAAAGCAGCACATTTATAGCAAATGCAATTTTCAATCCTTTGGAATGGTTGGGCGTTCGTCATCATTAAGATTGTTTATGTCAAAAAAATACCTGCAATAAGCCATTATACATTGCTAGAATATTGTACAGCCAAAAAAAACAAAGTACAAATTAAATAAAAAGAACCAAATGAAGACAAAGCTACACAATCAAAATGTTTACATAAAGCAGAAAAGAAGTATTTAACTTAGAGCACTTGCATATCAAATATGCAGAGTTGCTTCTTTAAATCCTGTACATCACATAAAAACATGTCACACTTTATAAAACTGTACAAGTTTGTTAAATGTCTGATAGTAGCTAGATTTTTTTTACCCTCAACTTTTGTATCTTGATGAAGTTACCATTATAGTTTTGGCACACAATTGCATCGATCATGCTTGTACACTGAGACCAGTCATGAAGATGAGACGATCTGATCGGTGATATATTCATGTGATTGATGGGATTTTTAAAAATAAGATTCATGTTAGTTCTTTACATACTAGGCAGCAACCAATTAACTTTAATATAATTTTACAATTAGCAGAAAAAAATATTAACTGGTACACCGTTAGCATCTTGTAGAAACCTTGTATTTTGCTGTATTTCCATTTTGTTGTTGTTTAATTAAAGTCATTTATTTTCTTTGACAGATGTCCAAAGCTGTAATGTGGGATTACAATCACAATGTAGGATTAAAAAATGCTGAAGTAAAGTTTCAAAGTAAATTACAGCTGACATCATCCCTCATGTAGAACATGTTTAAACTAAGATAAATACATTGAGCTCAGTAGAGGAGGGGTGTTTTAAATATCTGTGTAACATAAAATAATAAAAATAAGGTTTTATTATTTCCCGGAAAGATTACGTTTAGAATCTACAAGGATGTGCAAGACCCTGACAACATGGGATGATTATATAAAATTTAGCCCAGTGTTTTTTTTTTGTTTGTTTTTTAGTTTTACAGAAAAAAAGTCTCTTTCTTCATTCAAGTAGGGACAAATAAAACCACCAATTATTTGTGCTACTCATCAAGCAAACGTAAGCTACATGATGGATGTTTTGAAAAGATATGAAGGTACAACAAAAGTCAAATATTTCAAGAGGTATGATTTTTGAAAAATATACAAGCATTTTATATGAGACAAATAAAACAATAATATAAAATCATGACTACATTGCTAACTCACAATGCTGTGGTCTCTATTCATATGGAAAACTTTCAAAAGAATCTAAATAATAAAGAAAATTAGTCACTCTCTGAAATTGTCGAAGATAGAAGTCAGGACGTTCAATACCCCAAACCAATTCGTTTTCTGACTTGGAGGAATTTTTGGATAACAGGCTAAATGGAATAACCTGCATCCTGACATCAACAGAGTATTAAGTGTTTCTGATAAAAGGGATAAATGTATAATTTTTAACAAAATACGGTGCCTTTAAACAGCCCGACAACAACAGTCAACCTTGTGCTGTGATATATACGAAACAGATGCTGAAATGACCTGAAGACAATGGAAAATCTAGAAAAAAACCCCAAAATAAATCAGACTATACACCGTTATCCAGAGAGGTTAATAATTATTTGACAACAAAATCAAGTACAGTAAAAATGGACATGTACAAAACTGTGTTCAATGGCCTTTTGTGTTGAATTATTCAAGTAGATTTGGTACAGTGAGAATAAAAGTTATGAGACACTCATGCCTGTGGAGGCCTATATGTGACTGGTGCAGTCTGGATGGATGGATAGACTGGGATGTTTACACTGTCACAGTCGGTTTATTTTCAGATGGTAGGAGCTTCCTGCCTACTGTAAGTCCACTGACACTAAAGGGTCAAAGGTGTTTCACTGAAAAGAGTGCCAGAGTGCCCAGTGCTTACTAAGGCACATAGCAGGACAGTAGGATGTTATGTAGACATAATAGGCAGGAGCTGGGCCCCGCGAGGAGGCGTTCCTGTGTTTCCAGTGTGGGCGGACACTGACCAGCAGTGAGCACCAAGCACCCAGGAACACTGGGGGGAGTGCGCTGGCAGAATTTTCTGTGCAGCAACTGATGTTACAACAAAATACACAAACTGTCCCATATATCTGCTTTGCGGATGTCGACCCTGAGGTAAATGTACAAATGATGGATTAAGAAAGGGATTCATGAAACCTGCTTGAGGGTGAGCTACTCAGATTTTTTTTTTTTTTGCAAGAGAAAGTTACACTACAAACCAAGTCAAAAATTGACTACAACAACTAAAAAAAAAAAAGTCATCGATAGATGCCACACAAAGCTGCTCAACAGCCATTCGAAGAGTTTGTTTTTGAAAATCAAAGTTGTTTTTTTTCCAGAAATGGTAAATGTAAAACCCTCTCAGTGCTTCTTTCACAAAGAGCTGCTGATCAGTGGCATTCAAAGTGTCATTTTACAGCCTGGAAGCTATTTTAACATTAAAGAGGGTCGTTGTTTTTTTGTTTTTTTTAAAACATGTGGTGTTTTTAGGAAACTACTGCATTTGATCCAAATAAGGGATGTTTTCTTTCTGGAGGATGTGACAGAGCTGATTCTTCACAACTTTATAGAGAGATGGCTGCTGTGGAGAACGAGGGACAAGGCCGGCCATTCATGAACTTACACCTGCCAGATCGCCTCAAAAACCCTCTACGCTTCCAAGGCGCAGTTGTTAACATGCATATAGTGTGAAGCACTGGACTGCAGGGCAAGAGTCGCTGGTAGAATGAAGCTAGCACATGCATCAACAGTCTGGAGGGGTCTGACAGGACCAAATACATGGATGCAACCATTTCCGGCCATAGTGCCAAAGCAATAAAAGAAAATGTAGGCATAACGCAGACTGGCTGGGCTGCAGCAGTTTTGATAGTGGTTCCCGCTTCCGTGGAAGGTTTACTGTGCCTTTTGCCTGACTTATTGAGGCATGTCTGTCTAGAAACACAAGTCAGCTTTCTCACGGGACATGTGAGCTTCACAGGGAGGACGACGTGAGGCTGGCGAGCACTGCACCTTGCCGATATGTTCGTTTTGGTTCAAATGTTTTTACAACAGTTTAAAAAGCCCCCTTGTTGCGAGAGAGAAGTTTGAAAGCAGCTGTTTTAGAGCTCTGTTTTATCACTATGAATTTGGAGCGACATTTTCCTTGGCATTGTGAAATTTGACTCTCTAGCAGTAGTAGAGGATTTCTCCCTGTGCTTAGGGTGGAGTTTGGTACGTCCCACCTACACTGCTAGCGTTGTCTAGGTAGTACTGTTGTTCATACACTTCTCTCTCTACTCTTATCCTACAGGATGGACGAACCCGCTAATTACAGCCATTTTTCTGCTCACGGTTTCTACAGTTGGAGGGAGGAAGGAGGAAGAAGGAGGAGGAGGAGACGGGGTGTCTGCGACTGGGTGTCTCCTCCTCTGTGCTGCTCAGTTTATGATAAACTTCTCCTCGTCTATCAGGACCTGCCCTCTGTCTATTCCAGATAGCTGCTTTGTGCATTCTGTGCTCCACCATGTCGCAGCCCAGCACAGCCAAGCTCTGCCCAACACTCTGGCCTACATTTGAACCCCCTTATGCAATTTGGCAGAGTTGGAGGTTCGCCACTCTCTGACAGGACAGTTAGAGCCAGATGGGCGAGGGAGCAGGCCCCAGGAATTGCATGTGAGAACTCCTGCTGCGGGCTGTGAATAGCTTCTTGTGGGATGCAGCTGTTTCCTCAAGGGAGGCCACAAAAGGCAGAACCACGAGGAGGGAAGTGAGCAGGCTGTCTGGTTCTACCTGTGATACTGCCAACCACCAGCCACAGGCCTCAATGAAGGGCAGCTTACAAGACTGAATAGAAAGATTTCATTCACTCTTGTCTTTGGTACTTTTTCCTATGTGCTTCAGAGAGGGATAGATATTGTTTTAACTAAAGTCGTCTTTGTGTCCATTTTGCGTGAAATACTGGATGATGATATAGCACATCAAAAAATAAAAAAAAACACGAACAGCTGCTTTAAAACTTAACTGTCTCTATTTAAAGGCTACAAAGTTTCTTAAACTGAGTAAAACTGTTCACCCAATATAACCCTGATCCTCCCACCATGCAGATTTACACAGTATATACTGCACACCGCTGTCTAATGAAATACATATTCAACCCAGTGTAATGGCAACTGAATGTCGACGTTGCAATGGAGGAACAGATGTATTTTCTTTACTGAGGTGAAGGTTTGGGGATTGTCTTGTTAACACACAGCAATTGCATTGCATATGAACCCCCCCCCCCCCCCCCCCCCCCCCCCCCCACCCAGAGCACGAGGACATGAGTTCTGTGTACGATTGACCATATGACCGAAGGGCTAGTTTTCTTGACAAAAAAAAAAAAAACAAAGAGTGCAAAATTGTGTTGAGTGTAAGGCTGCTATATATGTACTGTATGTTTCTCTTCACCGTGTTCATTCTTTCAAGCTAACAAGGCCATCCCTGAGCAGGGCGTAAAATTCAACCCCCTGTTGAATTTCAGAGTAAAGTGATGAGTATATTGTGCAGTCAATGTGAGTACTGTGAAGTACTGTGGTATTACAGAAATAGCAACTGTCTTCAATCCTGAGGTGTGTGTGTGTGTACCCCTTCTCCACACCCGTTAAAAAAAATCAAAGAAAACCCCATTTTGATATGACTTGTCAGGGTGTCTGTTTTTTCTTCTAAACCTTGTTTAGCTGACTGAGAACATACATTGGACAACTAGCCATGATCAGAATCTAAAAAAATACAGACATATGGTACAGAATGTAAATATTGCCGTCTGGGAAAGGCATTACCTTCTTTTAGGATCACACAAGTAATTGCACTACAATAAGCAGTTATGTACAGTATGGTACACCACAGCAAGCGCAGGAATAGCAAAGGGGGGTTGCTGACAACTGTGCAACACAAGTGTTAGGACAAAAACACAGGCCTCGCAGATCAGAGGCAGAAAGTGCGACTGGGTTTAAGTTTAAGGCGAGTTGGCTGGGCTGAGGGCGGGGCTGAGGGTGGGGCTGGAGGCATCCGAGCGGCTGTAGTCGCTGAGGGAGCTGGGACGTGTGGTGCTGCCGCTGCTGCCGCTGCTGCCGCCATGGGGCCTCTTCAGCATGCCGGGCTGGAAATCTGAGTGGCGTCGTGCGTGCTTCATGAGGTGGTCGCTGCGCATGAAGCGCTTGTCGCAAAGCGGGCACCCAAACTTCTTCTCCCCCGTGTGGGTGCGGTAGTGGCGTGCCAGCTCATCTGACCGGGCGAACTTCTTACTGCAGTCGGGCCAAGTACATGGGAATGGCCGTTCTCCTGTAACACACAGATGGAAGGAGAGACTTCTGTGTTGGATCACACAAGAAGATAGCAACATGGCATTCAGAACAACAACCCTTTTTTGTAGCTAATTTAGTTTTATCATTTAGCCTGCTTATTGCTGACCATTTTCCACACATTTTGCACAATCTTCCCCCGTGTTTTGTATGTTTTAGCCAATATAGAGTAGACCTTCTTCAAATACACCACACTTTTGTTACAGACCATGCTGTCAGCATTTTACAGTTATCCTTAAGTGCTTTAGGTTATAGGTTACAATGACAGTAACTTACAATATATACAATGAACCAAGTACAAAGTATTGATAGTGTCAGTGAGTGTAACATGAAACAAATCAAACTCAGTGGTGCACCCTGGTGCTTACAATGATCCAAAATGCTCACCACAGTGAGAGTAGTGGCTCATTAAGAAGTGTTTACATGTTAACAAGTCAAGACGACTGCTGTGCACAGCTAACAGACATTTTTCAAGCCTGCTGAACAAGACTGTTGTTTTCTGTGCATAGTAGACTGAGTCATCAAGGGATAGTGATCACAAGGTCATTGCTAGGACTGATACGTCAGTAGAGCGAAAAGGAAATCAAAACCACCCAAGAGATCTTCAAAATATAAAAAAATGTGAGATAAAAAAGGCTGTAGTGAGAGTAAAAATTGGAACTGTGCTGGAGGAGCCGACACAGTTTAATTATCTAAGCTCCAGATGCTAATCACACTCACAATGGTTACCCAGCCCATTTTCTAACATGCAACTATCTGTGACTCTGCACATGGGAAATTACACCCTTCCCCCCTCAATCAGGCAATAAAAGTGGGCTTTGACACAAATCTACTTAAAGCCAGATGGTACTATATATCTTGTGGTTTCCTTCCCTTCTGATGTGGAAACAGTGTGCGTGGAGCCTGAATGCAGCGCTCTGCATCCACTGGCCAACATGAATAATACTGTATTCCATTTAGTTCCATTTCAGTGACTTTCTGCCTGACAATAGCAACATCCAGCATTCTAATTTTACCGGCGTGACCTTGCAGTACTCTTGCGAAGGGTGGCGCTTCAAACTTTTTTAATGTTATGGCACTTTCCTGAGAATAAGGATAGTCAATCATCGTGTGTGCACTCCCATGCTGGGGATTCGAGGTATGAAAGGGAATAGACGGTGACGGATGCATGAATGTTTATAAGAGGCACGACAAGTACATAAGAGCAGGCCTGCCAAACACTTATTTTGTTCTGTGGTTTCCTTCAGGGCCACAATGGAAACAGTGCTGTTCAGCATCAAACAGACATATGCTACCTGATGCCTGTGAGTCTCAAAAACAAGAACTCGGTGCACGACTAGTCTCGATCCCTCCCCCCCATACTGCATGGTTACAAAACATGCAGACAGACAGAGCAAGTCCAGACAGCCCAGTCTGTGTGCCTGCCTCTGACGCCTCACCTCAGCTCCAGACAAACTCAGTCAGCCCTGCCCACTACAGTTCCTGCTGGCTGCTGGTGTATGTAAACTCTGTAACTGACATAAAGACATTTGCATACACACACTGCACTCAGCCTTGTCTCCTTTCCCCCAAAACATCCATACTGTTCTCACTCTGCTGCAAGAGTTAACACACAAAGAGTCAATCCATCTGCCCTGCATTAGTTACAATTCATAAAAACAAGGAGGTGGTGGTTGTTTGACCCTATTTACACATCCTGGACTAAAGCCTCAAGAAAAGGAGGCAATTTAACTTCTAAGACACTAATCTCATTGAACGGACTCATGGTAGTCTGATTTCATACCTTATTAGCAAGAGAAGCAGCCCGTGCTGCCACCTGGCACTGCAAAATGAGTTATTGGCTAAAAAGTGTAGCTAAGTTCTGCGGGCTGCTTAAGGCTCAATAACCAGTGTAACGGATCCAACTACATTCATATTTAACCAGACACCAGAGAGCTAGGCTGAGATATCCAGTCTAACTGCCCTGATACAGTAATGCAGTCATAGTGAAAGCATCAGGTATCGAACAGCAACTCACAGACACGCATCAAATTATTTAGAGCTCAGTGACTTCTTAGAAAATTCCCAATTAACAGATACGCTGCCCATTTTCACCACCCACTAAATTGCTTTTGGCATTTAGGTCAACGATATGAATATGTATCAAAATTCCTGCTGCTTTATTGTCAGCCTTGAAAGGTTCACTAACATAAAGAAAAAACATGCAATGCCCCAATTAATTGTGCTTCTTTCATAACGTGAGGATTGGGATTTCCATGAGGACAGTAAAAAACAATTTTCTGGTAACATTAAGGAGGTGTAGGGAAAAGACGGTTTGAACCTGAGTTGAAGTGATGATAGGGGTTATTACCCTCAGTGGTAGGAGGATGTCTCTCTCTAAGATATTCTAATACACTGCAGATATTACTCAGCATCTCTGTTGAAGGAAGAATGCTGAAAACTGCCCCCCTCACCCTGCTCCTATTCCCATCATGAATTGTTGTCACAGCAGGGCACGGTGGCGATCGTGACACCAGGCCCCACCGATTGGTTATCCCATCTCTGGCAGCGTCCACGTCCAGGGTGTGGTTTGTGTTTCTCAGAATGTGTCAGTTGCAGAGGGCAAGGGGTGGGGGGCTAATGAAGGAAGCGTTTCCCTAACGAACACAGTGACCCAGTCACCCGCAAAGTGAGTTACATCATGCACACAAACTGTATCTCTACTAAGCACTAGTGTCCCCCCTCCAAGGCGATGCGATTATGTCACAGGTACTCTTGTTATATAACTGTTCCCTCTGAGGCCACTGGGTCAGTAAATAAACAGCTCATCTCTGCTCCTCTCACATCCTTCTCTCATTCATATCTAAGAATCTTTTGGCTCCTCGGTTTCTGCAGAAATGGTTAAGAGAAATGGAATCTGAGTTTGTCTCCCCTGTTGTAAGGGATGCCGTCTGCAAAGGGGAGATCAAATCTCTTTTTGACGTGAGCAGCGGCGCAGGAACTCAACTCGGTCACCTGCTCCAACAGCTACCAGCATTTCAAACGAGAGCAGATAACATTCCTGGTGTGTCCTCAGGCATGGGACAAACTCACATCGTGTACAGCTCAAACCTTCATGTGAGCCTGCCATAAGAGAGCTAGAGTAAATAGCTCTGCAGGGTGAGAAGGGGAACAAATACAGTTCCTGTGGACACATAAGAGATCACCTTGAAGTTGACTTTGCTCTGCCTGCACGGTGAGAACCCGAGCAGGAAATATCGTTTACAGAGCTCAGAACAAAAACAAGGGCCACACTAAACCTGCGTGGACTTTTGCAAGCAAACCGCTCGAGCAGTGAAAGTAAAACTGGAGTCAGACTGTAGATCACACAGCTCATTAGAGTTGGAGCTACCTCACTTCAGCGTTAGCTTAGTGGCAGAGTCAGCTTGGCAGCATGAAATGAGAGAGACACCACTAACTCCAGAGGTAGGGCTCAGCACAGTCCTGTAATTTGGTTGCATGTTTACAACAGACTATGACCTGTATCCAACCAGGGGCCAGCAGACAACCATCCGTGGGATTTGGGGTCGCTCATCAGCATAAACCACTGAAGCAGACAGGGTTAACCCAACCGAACCCAACCGAACCCAGCCTCTCCGTCTACACTCACCGTCACACGCCAAAATGATCTGAACACTAACACGTGTGTGCAGAACAATGAATATACATTATGGCTTTTGCAGCTCCTCTTGTCATTGCTCGTGCAGTGGTATATGCAGGCTTCGCTTGTGCAAAAATAAAAACAAAGCTTTACAAAGTTCTGTGGACTGTGGGGGATAAAAAAAAGACACTACTTGATTTGAAACATATCTGAGATCAGAACTGTTTACATGGCTGCTTGTCTAAGAAAAATTAACTCAGTGGGAAAGGAGTCAAATTGCAAAGAAAATCACGATATCAAAACATGTTTTTTTTCCGACGCTCCATTTAGAGTTTGTTGCAAACAAGAATAAGTAACTGCAGGAGAAATAGAGGAGCCGTGGGTGCTCGTGATGAGGACCGTCTCAAGTTTGTAAAGAAGCTCAGAAAACAGGGAGGATTTGATCTATTATCATCTTTTGCCTTTATTGAGAGGGACCTTGCTTGCCGTTGAATAGCATTCCGCCCCTTGTGGGCCTATGGGGATCAGGTTGTGAACAATAGCAGCAGCCTATAGCTCCCAGCAGGAAAGGCACTCCTGTAATGCATTTCAATCAGACAGGCGTACTAACCGTAACTCACTCCCCTTGTTCTGCACTGAACAGGGCTATTGACATTCAGCCGGAGACACGCAGCTGGGTCGGGTGTGACCGTCTGATTCCTGCACACACTTAGCCATCCATCACTTCATCCCTTTAACTCTTTAAGGGAAAGGTATAGGGGTAGCCCTCCTGCATTGACCAGCTCATCACATTTGCCTCAATTAGTTAGAGTGGGCACTCTCTTTCAGCTTTGACTGCATAGTAAAACAACCTGCAGCCTTGATGAGTTGCAGGTAGTCCCCTTATCATTTAAACCCAGGTTAACCAAGGACATGAAAACAGCTGCAGCCATTAATGGGTGTTTACAGTTGGTCCGCAGAAGCAGGTGGGAGTAGGGATGCCCCATCATCCGTGACTCTCACTCACACAGTACAATGCCAGCTCATTCCACTGATGGAGTCTGACACTATAGCTCAAACGTGATAGACACCCTTACCAACCAGCATCAAACAATGAGCCATAGCCCTGCCAGATCGTGAGAGGCCTCGCCACACCGCAATAGAAGTAGATACAGGCTGGAGATAGTGCCAGCTATCCAATGTTATACCTGCCACAAGTAGGAGAGAGATGTGCCCATGTCTTACAGAGAAAATGCTTATGCCCTCCTTCCCACAAGACACCACAAAATACTCCTCATCTCGTGCAGAGGGCCACACCCTTGTGTCGTGGTTTGCCACAGTCTGATTAATCACGCAGAGAAAGGGGACACACTTACATACCG